TGCTGCTGCTGCTGCTGCTGCTGCCCCCTCTGCGGCTGCTGCAACCGCAGCAATACCGCCTCCAGCTAGAGCAGCAGCAGCGACACCAGCGCCCCCAGCAGCAGCATCACCAGTTCCTGCTGCTGCAGCAGCACCACCAGCACCTGCTGCAGCAGCAGCTTCACCCGCAGCAGCAGCACCACCAGCGCCTGCTGCAGCGCCTGCTGCGCCTACTGCAGCAGCAACACCAGCACCTGCTGCAGCAGCAGCTTCACCAGCGCCAGCTGCAGCAACAGCAGCACGAGCGGTACCACCAGCTGCAGCAGCAGCAGCACCAGCTGCAGCAGCAGCAGCACCAGCTGCAGCAGCAGCACCAGCTGCAGCAGCAGCACCAGCAGCAGCAGCAGCAGCGGGTGTGTCTCCCTCAGCAGCAGGTTTGTTTTTGCTTCCGGCTGTCCAGGCAGCTCCTAGTGTTGGGGTTCCTTTGTCAGCAGCAGCAGCTGCTGCTCCTGCTGCTGCAGTTCCTGCTGCAGCAGCTGCTGCTGCTCCGGCAGCAGCAGCTGCTACTACTCCTGCTGCTGCTCCTGCTGCAGCCGCAGCGGGCGGTGGCTTAGTTGGGCTTCCTAGTATTGCTGCAGCAGCAGCATCACCGGCCCCTGCTACAGCAGCAGCAGCAGCAGCACCACCAGCAGCAGCTCCTGGCGGCACTGCAGCAGCAGGCGGAACAGCAGCAGCAGCAGCAGCAGCAGGAGGGGGAGCAGCAGCAGAGTTGAGTCAGCGGCTCGCTTTGTTTGGTGCTGCAGTTGCTTCGGCGCAGCGGGGCCTCCAGGGTTTGTTTGCTGCTGACAGCAGCAGCAGCAGCAGCAGCAGCAGCAGCCGCCCGGCTCTGTCTCTCTCAGATCCATCAATGTCTGTCTGTCCCCCTGCAGCAGCAGGGGGTGTATTGGGTGCCCCTGCTGCATCTGCTGCTGCTGCTGCTGCTGCACTCAGCAGCAGCTCGCTGCCCCTGAAGGGCCTCGGGGGGGGGCCCCTCCCCCTACACCTGCTGCAGCAGACACGCCTGGGGGGCCTCTTCTCCATGCCGCCGCTTGCTGCTTACGAAGACCCTTTGCTGCTGCCTCCTCTTCTCCCTCACCTTGCCCCTGTACATACACCTGGCTTGTTTGCTTCGACGCAGCTGACGCCTCCTGCTGCTGCTGCTGCTGCTGCTGCTGCTGGTGCTGCTGCTGCTGCTGGAGTGACAGCTCCGGTTGGAGCGGCAGCTCCTGCTGCTGCTGCTGCGCAGCTGCTGTCTCACCCGTCGAATGCTGCAGCAGCTGCTGCCGCAGCAACTGCAGCAGCAACTGCAGCAGCAACTGCAGCAGCAACTGCAGCAACAGCAGCAAACGTCTCCCGTTCCCTCCTGG